CTCACAGACTGCAGATTGGACAAGCTTGGTATAGTGTTACTTGAAAGAGATTCAGATTAGTTCCAAATGCATAGTGCAAACACCAGGGAAACCACTAAAGAAATTTTGAAAAGAACTATGATTGATGTGCTAAGAAAGAAGAGAAAGTAAAATTATATGCAATTTTCAATGAGCCAGAGAAAGCAGAAAAAGAGAAGGGAAAAAAGAAACAATGAGTGCAAGGAAAACAGTTACGAACAAATAAAGGGATAAAATAATTGGAGTTTAGCCATTTGACAGTCATCTGTTCAGCAATATAAAGTATCAACTATTGATACAGGCAGCAATATGGCTGTGTCTCAAATAATAATGCTGAGTGAAAGGAGCCAGATTTCCTCAAAAGAATCTATACTTTTTTTTTTTTGTTTTTGAGACGGAGTTTTGCTCTTGTTACCCAGGCTGGAGTGCAATGGTGCGATCTCGGCTCACCGCAACCTCCGCCTCCTGGGTTCAGGCAATTCTCCTGCCTCAGCCTCCTGAGTAGCTGGGATTACAGGCACGCACCACCACGCCCAGCTAATTTTTTGTATTTTTAGTAGAGACGGGGTTTCACCATGTTGACCAGATTGGTCTCGATCTCTTGACCTCATGATCCACCCGCCTTGGCCTCCCAAAGTGCTGGGATTACAGGCGTGAGCCACTGCGCCTGGCCGAGAATCTATACTTAATTTTTCCATGTTTATAAAATTCTACAAAATTTGAACCAATTTAGAGTAATAGAAAGCAGAATCAGTAGGGCCCTGGAGAATTCTTAGCTAAGCATTTTATTATGGACCTATAGTGACTATGGCATGAACTTGATGGGATTTTTCTATGTGCATGTACAGGTATTGATCAACTTACAACCTATGCAACTTACGACCATTCGACCTTACGACCACAATCGCTAGCCACGACTACTCCGCGTCTCGCAGCGCAAACGTTGCCCAGTTGGGCGTACGACAGTGCGGACCAGCTTCCGGCAGCACTATCATCTCCGTGTGCACCATTTCAACTGTTATCCCAGACTCGGTACAGCAATTTGTGTTTTGTGTCTTGGATATTTTTCATCAACCCCCTCCCAAGATGTCTACCAAGAGCAAATTGTCTTTGTCTACGCCTCAGCCTGCCAAGAAGGCTTAAATATCTGACTTAAAGATTTTTATAACATCATTTCACAGTACTGTACATGTAGCCTACTCAGCTTACGACCAAATCATGTTACGACCGGTCTGTCGGAACCAATCGTGGTCGTAAGTCGAGCACCAGCTGTACAGAATAGTAAAACTTGGGTTTGAAAATACCATGGGCCGTGCATCTGTTTTATCTGCTGAACTCAAAAGCCTGGAGGCAGAATGGTTTCTTGCATGCCATGGCTAAACTAAGCCCTGGGAATGAATATGGAGAGAACGTGAATTGTTGAGGTGTGTATAAAAGAAAATTAGACTCAAAAGAAATTATCTTCTGGGAATATTTGAGCCACATTGAAGCTAGTATTTTAGGTGTAGAATACATTGTCTTTGTAAAACCAGCTAACAATGTGGTGATCTAAAAATTTTTACTCAACTGATGCTATTTAAATTGGCATATTCTGTTTGTTGTGTAGGTCTTTCCTTTGGATATGTTCAGATATTTAAACCACAAAAAGGCAAGATCATGCCATATCCTTCATGGAGAAGATGTGAGTACTAAAGCTTGATGAGAAGAAACATGAGAATTTGTAAAAGCAGTTTTCTGTAACCAACATGCTGTTGCCATACACTCCCAACTTCATTATTACTGGAAAAAAATTCCCTCTCTTTTTAAAATCTAAAATATTTTTGGCACCTTGTGCTCTCAGATAAGCATATTAAGTTACTTTTCAACGTGAATCTTCACTACAATCTAATATTAGCAAAGATCTTCAAGAACATAGGGTTCCAGCATTAGATTGATCTTTGAGTTGGTCTAGTTAACAGAGGTAGAGCCAATGGACAAAACATTTAAGGGATCCACTAGAGGGCAGCAAAATGTAAATGAAATTTAAATTTGCTCCCAGAAAGGCTAATGTTATAAAAAATATTTGAATTGCAAATAAGATTTCTCGAATGCAAAAAACTCAAATTAGATTAGGGATGTACAGTGTTTCTCTTTTCCTGGAATTAGTAGTCAAAGAGACATGAGACTGGAAGAGCAAAATGAAAATCAAATAGGTTCTAGTCTCAGCTCTTTTTACTGATTGTGTGATTTGGGGCAACCTAGAATTTGCTTCTCTGGTCCACTTCCATGATACAGATTTGCACGTATTAAAGTTCTTTACAACTATAAAATTTTATGATTTTATTATTTATGATTCTATCTCAACCCCTTTAAAATCTTTTTGATTAGACTCTCAGATTATTTGATCAAACCATAACTTGCCATTAATGGAGCGTCTGTTTGGAAATCACCACCATTTCATAAAAAATTAGATCCCTCAAATGAATTGATTTACTTTTTTTGAAAAAAAATCTTCTTAATAAAATGACATGTATATAAGGTAGTGATAATAGTTATTGCAACATCTTCTGGAATAAAAATGCATGTTATTTAAACTATCAATAATTTTTTTATTTTTAAAATGGAAAAATTAAAACCCACAATAATATTATACATAGCCAAGGGTTGTTTTCACTCTCCATTCATTTTCCTTTTAAAGTGCTACATATGTGAACTCATTAGTAGTTACCCTACCAAAATTCCAAAATCATGAAGATGGTTATACATAAAAAATGAATGTTGGCTTGAGGGCCAAGGAAATACTCACTGATTAATAGAAGAGCACGGGTTAGATCTGAACTACTGTATGTCGTCATTCATTTGGTCAACCACTGCAAGCTTCTGGATGTGGCTGATTTTTATAGAATCACAGAGTTCACAGTATTCTTCATAGTTGTTCAATGGTCATCATTATAAATACACATCACAATAACCCTGATTTGTGACTGAAACAGAAAATCTTTTCTTTTTTTCTTTGAACTTCGCCTAATATTTATTTTTGTCAAACTCTCTTCTAAATAACACTTTTAATGAACATGAATGGATAAAACTGTGAACAATTTTGATAAAAGCAGAAACTGGCCAGGCATGGTGGCTCACGCCTATAATCCTAGCACTTCGGGAAGCCAAGGTGGGATGATAGCTTGAATTGGGTGGTAGAGGGTGCAGTGAGCTATGACGGCACCACTGCACTGCAGCCTGGGTGACAAGTGAGGTCTTGTTTCTTTTTTTTTGAGACTGAGTTTCGTTCTTATTACCCAGGCTGGAGTGCAATGGTGCGATCTCGGCTCACCGCAACCTCCGCCTCCCGGGTTCAGGCAATTCTCCTGCCTCAGCCTCCTGAGTAGCTGGGATTACAGGCACGCGCCACCATGCCCAGCTAGTTTTTTGTATTTTTTTTTTTTTAATAGAGACGGGGTTTCACCATATTGACCAGGATGGTCTCGATCTCTTGACCTCGTGATCCACCCGTCCTCGGCCTCCCAAAGTGCTGGGATTACAGGCTTGAGCCACCGCGCCCGGCCAAGGTCTTGTTTCTAAAAGATAAAATGAAATAAAGTAGAAACCATTTCTGAATCCACATTGATAATGGAGTCATACCTAACACCATGCTGTATATTTAAATATTTTCAAATTTTTAACCCTCATTTAGGATGCATTTTCTATTTGCATATAAAAAAGGAAGAAAAATACCTTGCTGGCAGGGAATTCAAGGAATGAAGGAAAATCATCCTTTAAAACAGAATTGTTAAATCTATAATTCTTATCAGAAGCCAGAGGTGAAACCCTGTTCCAGCAGATTAGCTCACCTGGTTACAATAAGGCTGACACCCATTTCTATGATTTTCGTTTCTTTCTTTCTTTTTTTTTTTTTTTCATTTCTGTGATTTTCTATGATTCTTCCTCGTCAGACTCTTAGACCTATCAACTCATCATAATGCCTGAAGTTATTAGCACGAGATAATAAATTATCCATTTCAGTCAATTTGCTTTTTCATCAAAAGCAGGGTGAGGAATGCAAGGAGACACCAACTTCAGAGTCAACAGTCTCACAGAGAAGTCGCACCATCTCGCAACGTTAATAGCGAGCCGTTCAGACACTGATATTACTTACTTATATAAGAGTAATGAGTGAAATACAGATTGTCTAGATACAAATTCTGACTCTCCTCTTTATTACGCGCCTCAAAATCCTCATCTGTAAATAGGCATAGCAGTGCCTCCTTTTGGGAGTTAAGACATAAATTAACGCTTGTAAAACTAGTTATTATTATTACACTTATTTGCAGACAGGGTCTCACTCCGGTTGCCCAGGTTGGAGTGCAGTGGCGCGATCTCGATTCAGGTGATCCTTCTGTCTCAGCCCCGGAGTAGCTGGAACTACAGGTGCGCGCCAACACGCCCGGCTACATTTTGTATTTTTTTATGGAGACGCGGTCTTGGCATGTTGCCCAACCTGATCTCCAACTTCTGGGCTCAAGCGACAACCTGATCTCCAACTTCTGGGCTCAAGCGATCTGCTTGCCTCAGCCTCCCAAAGTGCCAGGATTACAGGCATGAACCGCTGCGCCTAGCCTATTATAATTATTATTTAGGCTTAGAAAATGGTTTCGTTTTCTCCAGTGCTTTTCCAGTAAGTTATAGCTAGGAGTATCAAACTGGCGGTCTAACCAATAATTCGCTGTTGATCTTGAACAAGTCATTTCACCTTTATTGGCCTCATTTTCTTGTCTGGGGTCTTCAACAAAATGCTTCAAAAGTGAATGCACCAAGGTGGTTCGATGCATATTGTGGAATGCACCAATTTTAAAATAAGGTGATTGGAGCAAATAGATCGCGAAGACACTTTCTAGTTCTAACACTTCATGTGATTATTTTCCAGGAGCGTGTGGTACATATGAGATGCAAACGGCTGTCTATATTGGGAAACACTGCACAACACCATTCCATTTGCTGAAAAGAACTCTAGAGGTATCTATGGAAAATATCTTATCTTTTACGGGGATACTTTTAATCTAGAGTCATCTCTACTAGTGTTGAAATGAAACAGGCCTGATGAGAACAACAAATACACGTTTATTTTATTCAAGGCGGCTGTCAGTGTCGGGAGCGCCAGGGGGAAGGCCGGGCCCACAGGGCAGCAGGAGGGCGCCCAGCGGCAGCTCGCCCTGGCCCAGCAGCCGGCCCCGCTCCCGGCCGCGGCGCTCGTCCCGGGCCTTTACGCGAACCGCCAGGCTGCGCACCTCGTCCTCCGAAAGGCCGTCGAAGCAGAAGTCCTGGTCCAGGGCGGCCTTGCGGCTGCGCCCCATGACGGCGCTGCATTGCCGGCGCGCGGTGCCCGGCGGCCGTAGCACGAGGCTGAGGCGGCAGCGGAGCGCGCGGGGCACGGGGGTGCCTCCGGCCAGGCCCTCGGCGCGGAGCAGCCGGAGGCGGAGGCGCCCGGTTCCCGGACAGTACTCGGCGGCCAGGCGCAGGGCGTGGCCGGCGCGGCCCAGAGCCACGGTGCCCTCGGCCTCTAGGCGCTCGGGAAGCGCTGCCCGGGCCGACGGGGGGCTCGCGGAGGGGGCCCGGGCCGGGGACTGGGAGCCTGCGCGGCGCTCCTCGTCCTCGTTCCCGCTGGAGACGGAGCGGGCGCGGGCCCGGCGGCGACTCCTTCCAGCCCGCAGCGCGCGGCTCAGCAGCCCGTTGGGGGCGCGCAGGAGGCGGCAGCCGCGGGGCCGCGGGGCTAGAGCGTCCTGGGGCGGGCGGTGACCACCGGGGGCCGCCGGGGTGGCCCGGAGCGGGGCTCGCTGGCCTCGCAGTGTCCCCAGGGGGGCGTCCGGGCCGCCGCCGCCGCCGCCGTAGGTGTGGGCCCGGGGCCGGGGCGCGGGCGGGCCCCCGAGCAGGAGCGACTCCTTGCGGCGCGTGTGCGGGCTCTCCAGCAGCGCGCAGAAGCCGTAGGCGGTGCGCACACGCGGCAGATGCGGGAGCGACAGCGCGGCCTGCGAGCGCGGGTCCCAGTCCGTGTGGCTGGCGCCTTCGTCTCTCCCTGCTTCTTCACTCCAAGAATTCCGGAGCGCAGCCAAGGTCAGGCGGGGCGCGAGCCGCGGCGGGATGCAGAACTCGGGGATGCGGTCCGGAGTGAGCACGTTTGCGCACGCGGCGGTGGTGAGAGACCTGGCTCCGCGGGCCGGACCCGGGAGAAGCCAGTCCCCGCCCCGCCGAAGGCACTCAGGGCCCAAGCGGAGTCGCTCCAGACACCACATCTGGTCACCCTCTGCTGGAGCCTGTCTGCCTGCAAAGCACAAAGGTTCAAGGATTGTTAGAGCGAGCCCCACAGGGTGCAGAAATTCCTGTCCCTTTTCTTCTATTAATACTTTTGGGGTGTTTCTTCCTGCCTTTCCCGAAACAAGGCAAACTTCTCTGCGTGCCGATATGGCAGGCTATTTTTCAGTGATCGAAAAAGAGTTCTGTTTTTCTATTGTCCTGACTGAACTCTACTGTAATACACACTTCAGAGCTTGTTTTATTCTCTATCCGCCCTCGCTGGCCTAAGGCAGAGGTTCACAAAATGCTGGATTGTAAGTTCAGTCGCTCTGTTCTCTGTGCCAACAATTGCCTTGCTATGCGCTGTTGTTTCCTGACTCTCGGGAGTATAGCAGTCTAGTCCTCAGCTAGAATTAAAGTAATTAGTATTCATTCCAGGAATACTGTGGCTTGTTCTCCCCTTGCAGAGGCAAAGAGCCTCAGACGAATCCCCCGGGGAATTAAGCAAGCTGATAGGTCCCTCCTAAAGTACCTGGAGTCCTGCGTCAGCTGGGTCTCTGCACCTTTCTGCCTGGTACACCGACCAGGAGAGGAGACGTGCTTAGCTGCTGGGAAATTCAAAGCGCGCGCGGTAGGATTCAGCACAAGTGCTCAAAGACAGCTGGCCTGAGCTTTTATGCCTGCAGCTGGGAGCGCTTGGCAGTGGGCCGAACAGAGCGGCGCTGCCTGGTAACCTGACGCCAGGCCCTCCTCTGTCCCTCTGCCACGTGGCTGGATTTGCTGAGCAAGGTCTGGAGACCCAGTTCTTTCTCTCTCCGGCTTCAGGTCGAGATGTTTTCATCGGAAACCCGGAGCAGGTTTCTGTTTCCTCACATGCAAAATGGTGTTAAGTCTCTACTATACCGCAGAGCCACTGTGAGGATCGACGAGTGTAATGAATGTGAACGCGTATTAGTACTCTACATTCACTATTAAAATGAAGACGAGTCTGGTTTGTCTTATTCTTGCCTAATAACCCTTCCCGAAATCCAGCTGCCAGTTGCCCAGCTTTCAAAGTTCTTTACTTGCTTTCCAGTTTTCAGTTCTGATTTTAGATGTTCTTCTCTTATTATAAACCACTCGGGGTCAGGGGGAACATTTCATATCTTGATCCGGGTGGAGTTACAGAGGTGTATCCATATGTAAAAAAAAAATCCTCTAGTGTACACTTAAGATTAGCGCACTTTATTGTGTGTATGGTACACATCAATTGAAAAAACGCAACCTACTTCTTAAGCCATGTGTGCTGATTTTTTTAATTGGGAAAATGTACACTTGCATGTTCTGGGCAGTTGGAATCACCCTTTCGAGGCGCCGTGACCACATCTGACCTTTCTAGGCTGTGCCCACCAGAGAGATCCTTTTCCTACCTTTTGAAAATTAACCTGTGTTCATTTTGTAAGAGTTGCTTCCAGTTAGCTCCGGCTGAAAGAGATCTGAGGCATTTTGTTCAGCATTTGGGTGTATGATATTTCTGCCTAATATCCTGCCTTGCAAATTATTCACTTATCTAAATAACGTTTAATGAATTAAATTGAATTCATGCAAAAGTCTTTTCAGGATAGGGCATGTGCATTTTGTTTCCAGGACACACAGGCGCTGTGCTAGATGATTTACAGATAGTCTGTAGAACTGTCACAGAAACCCTGCCTATTCAGATCATCCTTATTTTATAGATGAAAACTAAGACTCAGAAATCAAGTACCTTATCCAACGTCACATAATGATGGGAAATAGAGGAAATAATACCTACTAATGGGTATAAATGAGCTGTTTTTGGAATTAATATAATAATGTAAAATATTTTGCACCATGCCTGTAACATGGTAAGTGCTAAATGCATAGAAGTGATTATTATCATTAATAAAGAGAGAAGGAAAGTCATAAAAGATAGTGGTTAAGAAAACTGGATCTGAAATCAGATCTACTGTTAATGCCAGAATGGTGGCTGTGTGACCTTGAGCAAGTTACTTAACCTTTCTAAGCCACAGTATCAAATTTAAAATTCTTAATAGTATCAACCTATAGGGTTATCATGAGTGTAAAGATAATGCATATGAAGAGGTTAGCATAGCACCTGATATGCACAATGTCACATATAATATTATTATTACAGAAGAGAGCAATGCTCATTAGTTCATTCAAAGTAATATGTACTGCCTGAGTGTTTTCTGGGTTCCAGCCACCATGCTAGGCAAGTGGATACAAGTTAGCTGTACAAGATCATATCAGCTATGTAAATCCATAAATGATGGAATTAAATGATGAGAGTAAACTATTTGAATTCCGTCTACGTGAGGCAGACACTGAACATTACTTACGTTTTTTGTGTTTTTTTTTTTTTTAGACTGTGTCTCACTCTGCTGCCCAGGCTGAAGTACAGTGATACAATCTTGGCTCTTGGTTCACTGTAACCTCTGCTTCCCAGGCTCAAGCAATCCTCCAACCTCAGCCTCCCAAGTAGCTGAGACGACAGTAATGAGCCACCATGCTAATTTTTTTTTTTTTTTACAGACGGAGTTTCAACATGTTGAGCAGGCTGGTCTCGAACAAAGTGACCCACCCACCTCAGCCTCCCAAAGTGCCAGGATTATAGGTGTGAGCCACCGTACTTGGCCTGAACATTACTTCTATGTTTAGTCTAAGGGGCAGGATTGGTGGGTCTCTGGATTTACTGTGCCCTTGACTAGCTATGTCTTATTATTATTATTAATTTTTGAGATGGGGTTCACTCTGATACCCAGGCTGGAGTGCAGTGGCACAGTCATGGACACTTGAACCTCAACTTCCCAGGCTCAGGCAATTCTCCCATGTCACCAACCTGAGTAGCTGGGACTACAGGCATGTACCACCACCTGGCTAATTTTTGTATTTTTTATAGACATGGGATTTTGCCATGTTGCCCAGGCTTGTCTTGAACTCCTGGGCTCAAGAGATCCCCCAGCCTTGGCCTCCCAAAGTGCTGGAATTACAGGTATGAGCCACTAAGCCCAGCCTACTTCTTTGTCTTGATATCACCTCTACTCTTTGCCAAAATTCTTGGGCCACGGCTAAATTTATGGTAAAAATTTTACCAAATTATATAGTTGAGGGTCATGTGCATGTGTTCTGACTCAGCTTTTCTCAGGAAACAAGATGTTGGTGGCCCTGTGAGAGCCCTTACTTGGTTAAAGTGATTAGGAGCACAGATCAGAGTTTACAGTCTGAGAAGTTGGCTGAAAAGTTGTTAAGCAAGTTAATGAACCTGTTTGAGCTCGTTATAAAATGAGGTTGATAATTCCGACCACATAAGATTGTTGTGGGGGTTAAAAAGATATGCATGAAAACGCTTGGTTAGCAGTTAAGCGCTGGCTAGCAGTTAGCTGTTATTATTACTATTATTATTATGACTGTTTGCTTGGCCAGGGATTAGCTGATTCACATATGGATTCTTTTAAAAACATTTTTCTCCTCAGGCAAGCAAAGCAGATTTACTTTGTTTTTATTAATGATTCACTTTCTTTAGTAACACCTTAATAGCATTTCCTGTACATGATTTCTTAAAAATAGCAGAGATTTGCCCTTGCATGGCTGGTCCCTGTGACCCCATTAAGCCTTATGTTTTACTTAACTCGGAAGCATGAGCCAGCCACCCAGTACTTGGGAGGATGGTGTAACGAGTGCCTGGAACATACAGATCTACTCAGAGGAAGCTCACAGCTGTAGCTGTGGGAACATCCAGTGTTGGAGCTGGAAAACAATTCTGTAAAGTAAGCGTAAATAGACCACACACCATCAAGACAAGAGGTGCTCTCAGAGTAAAAGGAAATTAATCTTTTTAAAGCACACTTATAAAAATACAGGAGGTTGAGTGTCAAGGAAAGCAAGAAGAGAGTTTACAGCCAATAAAATACTAGTGTTCTGACTTAGGCATCTTGTTCAACACAGCTGGAGTATGGAGTACTAGGAAATAATACAGAGCAGGGAGTCAGGACCTTTGGGTTTGCGTTTTCATTCTGACAGTCACTAACTTGTGGGACTTTGGGCAAACCTTAAATTCTCCCTGGCACTCAGTGTCTCCATCTGTCAACTGAGGGGGTTGGATTAACCAGATGATCCTCTCTCTGGCTTTAATATTCTGCAGTCCACTCCCTTGCGCTCTCCTCGTTAACTTCCCTAACTTTTCCCGCAGTCCATGGTATCATGGCTTATACTCTAGCTTTCTCCCCCATTTTCGTTTTCCCTCAAATTCCTTTTGCTTTTCTCCAGAAACTCTAGGGTTGGGGAATAGGATATGGGTGGTGGTTAGTGTGGATTTTGTTTTTTAAACATTTTTGAGTAATTTTTAAGTGTCCCTAATTGATGCTTTTGTTTTTAATAGAAATACTATTTTGGGCCGGGCGCGGTGGCTCAAGCCTGTAATCCCAGCACTTTGGGAGGCCGAGGCGGGTGGATCACGAGGTCAAGAGATCGAGACCATCCTGGTCAACATGGTGAAACCCCGTCTCTACTAAAAATACAAAAAATTAGCTGGGCATGGTGGCGCGTGCCTGTAATCCCAGCTACTCAGGAGGCTGAGGCAGGAGAATTGCCTGAACCCAGGAGGCGGAGGTTGCGGTGAGCCGAGATGGCGCCATTGCACTCCAGCCTGGGTAACAAGAGCGAAACTCCGTCTCAAAAAAAAAAAAAAAAAAAAAAAAAAAAAAAAAAAGAAATACTATTTTGCTTATCTGTTTTTATTGTTCAGTCCTTCACTGAAGTTTAGTTTTGTAATTGCCTCTGTTGTCATTCTCACTGTTCTTAAGCCAGAATGAAGGCAAGAACTATAATGAATGAGAATGCTTATTTTCTTCCGTTAACCTCTGTATCCAAATTATTTCTGATACAATGCCATACATAAGAGTGCTAATGGCATTTCTTGACATTGGTTATAGTTTGTTTTAAGTTGGGACTGCACACTTCTGACTTCTTAAATAAATATGGACGAGTTGGGGCATGACTGAATGCACATAATCCATCACTTAAAACATGCTGAAAATGGAAAATAGTAAAATTTAAAGCTTTTTATACTATATGGCAATCTCATTTGTTGAACCAAAAATTCAGAGCCAAATTTTCCACCGAGTTTTTTTTTTTTTTTCTGCCATGAACCTTTCAAACTATGATCTCTGATAATCACTAATAGCCCAGTGGTGATTAAACTGCATAATTGGGCCAGGCGCGGTGGCTCAAGCCTGTAATCCCAGCACTTTGGGAGGCCGAGGTGGGTGGATCACGAGGTCAAGAGATCGAGACCATCCTGGTCAACATGGTGAAACCCCGTCTCTGCTAAAAATACAAAAAATCAGCTGGGCATGGTGGTGCGTGCCTGTAATCCCAGCTACTCAGGAGGCTGAGGCAGGAGAATTGCCTGAACCCAGGAGGCGGAGGTTGCGGTGAGCCGAGATTGCGCCATTGCACTCCAGCCTGGGTAACAAGAGCGAAACTCCATCTCAAAGAAAAAAAAAAAACAAAAAAAAAACCTGCATAATTACTGGAAGAGAAAAGGATGGCAGTGCTTAGGGAAGCAAAAGAAATTAATATCGGCTGTGTGATTTTGGGAAGTCATTTAACATTCCTGAGCTTAATTTTTCTATAA